GGCCTCAGTGCGGGACTTGAGTATTTATCATACACATGGGTGTGGGGTCTAGTATGGCCTGGAGGGTGCAATTGTCCTTCCCTGTCTTCTGGTACCAACTGACACTGCCACCCAGGCAGAAGTACAGTCCTTGGCCGTCCGTTCAATCCTCCTGTTCTCTCCAGCAGAATCCTCCAATTGCACACTCTGAAGTCTCTTCCCTCGGCCCCGTGCCTTCCCGGGCTTTTCTATTTATCTGACCCCTCCTGCCTTCAGGTGTGCTGGATCTTGTAGTCTCATGTGGCAGAGTTTACCATATACAACTCAGTGAACATGGTGCATGCCCCCTACCTCCTGAAATATATCGATCACATGCCATCAACATTGGGGAGTGCCTTGCCAGGATGGATCCCCTGGCACAACACCCTGTCTCCATGTGGATGGAGACTCGGCCCCTTTTTTTTTTTTTTACAACCCCTACAAAGGGGTCCTCAGTTACCACCCCCCATACATAATGTGAGTATGGGGTACATAGCACACAATGGTACCACTAGCTGAATGACAGCTCTCTGAGCGGCCATATTTGATGGCCACTGGTCTGTTTTAAATGCTGCTTTATGCATTGATAGTATGGTCACCTGATGGCTCAGCACCATCCACAGGCAGCTTAACTCTTCAATTAGACACGGAAGTTGATGCCATCACAATTTCCCTTCAGACAATTGCAGTACAGAGGACGTTTTTCCAGTCTTTTGAAGGGTATGAGAACGACTTCCCTAAGCCAGTCTCTATGAAACACTAACACTGACTGAGTAGACATGGAAGAAGAGAAGGGGCTAGGTAGCACTAAACTAACTAGCTCTAAAAAGGAGGGCAGGATAGTCAAAGATACCAAATCACATTAGTAAACAAGTAGCAGCAGGCCCAACACTGCCACTAGAGTAAGAAGACAATGACTTTCCTAAGCCTGTCTTTGTGAAAAGTTAACATTGACTGAGTAGGCATGGAAGAAGAGGTGAGGGTCTAGCTAAACTAACTAGCTCTAAACAGGAGGCGAGTGGGTGCACTGGCCAAATATGACCATTTGATGAACTGTAAACGCTTGGGTTTGGGTTGAACTTATAGTCAACCCAAACCAGAAGTTCGTTCCCATTGAGAAACAAAAACTCATTACTCAAAGAACTCCTAGTGACCTTTTGGAGGAGCCCTGGCTGAGAAAGGCTGGACTAGGCAGTCGTATATTTCTGTCCCCCTTGGTGGGAGTGGAGGTGACCCCTCTATGAGGATATACAGTCCATACACACCCAGCACAAGGCCGGGGTCACCAGACGGTTCTCGGGGCTGCAGTTCTTCTGAGCTCCACAAGGGGTGATCTCACGTCTACCCAGACAGGAAGTGGTGTCAGGTGCAGACAGGAAGTTCCATGTGGCACAAAGTAGAGAGGAGACATTGCTGGAAGTGACAGCAGAGGAGGTAATAGGATCTTACTTTCTATTTACTTCCAGTAATCCCCCGTCATGTCTGTCCTCTCCCTCCACCGTCACGTCCGCCCTTCCACCGTCCCGTCTGCCCTCTCCCTCCCTCGTCCCATCCATCCTGCTCCTCCATTGTCCCGTTCGCCCTCCACCATCCCGTCCGCCCTCTCCCTCCACCCTCCTGTCCGCCCTCTCCCTCCCTCCACTGTCACATTCACCCTCTCCCTCCACCATCATGCCCGTCCTGTTCTTCCACCGTCCCGTCTGCCCTCTCCCTCCCTCCACTGTCCAGACCACCCTCTCCCTCCCTGCACCGCAACGCCAGTCCTGTTCCTCCGCCGTCATGCCTGCCCTTTCCCTCCCTCTGTCATCCCGTCCACCATTTCCCTCCACCGTCTCTTCCGTCCGCCATTTCACTCCCTCCACCGTCCCATCCATCCTGTTCCTCCACCTTCACTGTGACATCTTTTATCTCCAGCAGATGATGATAAACGCATATATAGTGTGGGAACCCAAATGAACCCTTTCAGGGTCACACTAAATGTGTTCACATGGGGTCTGTAGTTCTTAAATGTCCAGCAACCCTCCTATTCCCCCCTCACATCCACATCCTATTATTGTGTGACCGCGATACCATCCAAATCATTCTTACTGTCATTTCCCAAAGTTATCCATCTACAAGGAGACCTGTATAGATCAAATGACTGCACCAATGAGGATGGAGGAGGAGCGGAGTCACATGACTGAGAGGATACTAAACCTCACCCTGGAGATCATTTACCTGCTGACTGGAGAGGTGAGGAGGATTCTGGGAGGTCACATGACATCACTCTCATCTCTATTAATAAAACACAGACCTGACCAGAGAGGTGAGGAGGATTCTGGGAGGTCACATGACATCACTTTCATCTCCATTAATAAAACACAGACCTGACCGGTGAGGTGAGGAGGATTCTGGGAGGTCACATGACATCACTCTCATCTCTATTAATAAAACACAGACCTGACCGGAGAGGGGAGGAGGATTCTGGGAGTCTAACATGATATTCCTATTGGTTTCTCAATGCAGAGATTTCCTCTTCTGAAGTCAGGTGATCATATGACCATCACAGTGCCTCCATGGGACTCCCTAAACCCTGAGAGACACAACATGGAGAAGATTCTAGAAGTCACCAGAGAGATCACTGAGCTGCTGACAGGAGAGGTGAGCGGTGCCGGGAATTCTGGGACATTCTCCAGTAACAGACAAGGGATGTGTCTGGATGGTGACTGTAGCATTGTGTGTGTCAGGTTCCTATAAGGTGTCAGGGTGTCACTGTCTATTTCTCCCATGGAGAGGAGTGGGAGTATTTAGAAGGACACAAGGACCTCTACAAGGACGTCATGATGGACAATCAGCCGCCCCTCACATCACCGGGTAAGAGGAGACTTTATTGTAAAGGAGAGAGCAGTACTGAGGGTCCACCTAGATCCCCCATCATCTGATAAACACATAGAAACAATGGATTCAGTCAGTGTGTGTGTTTCCTACAGATGGATCCAGTCATGGGAACCCACCAGAGACATGTCCCCGTCCTCTGTATTCCCAGGATTCCACACAGGGAGGTCCCACCATCCCTCACCATCATCAGGTAGGTGGATCCAGTCATGTGAACCCACCAGAGAGATGTCTCTGTCCTCTGTATTCCCGGGATTCCACACAGGGAGGTCCTCCAATCCTTCACCATCATCAGGTAGGTGGATCCAGTCATGGGAACCCACCAGAGAGATGTCCCCATCCTCTGTATTCCTGGGATTCAACACAGGAAGATCACACCATCCCTCACCATCATCAGGTAGATGGAACTAGAACAGATATCAAAGCTATGAGAGGACATTCTTTCATGTGATCTCTTGTTCTGTTTTACACATATATCCTATCATCTTTGGTGTTTAGGACGAGGAATTGAAAGACATCAAAGTTGAGATTTAAGGAGGAGGAAGAAGACACAATGGTGAGTGAAGCTCAGCAGTCTATAGGAGGGGGAGATCCTCTGTATTCTCGGGATTCCACACAGGAAGTTCACACCATCCCTCACCATCATCAGGTAGATGGATCCAGTCATGGGAACCCACCAGAGAGATCTCCCCATCCTCTGTATTCCCAGGATTCCACACAGGAAGGTCCCACCATCCCCCACCATCATCAGGTAGGTGGGACTAAGGAACTAGAAAAGATATCTAAGCTATGAGAGGACATTCTTCCATGTGATCTCTTGTTCTGTTTTACACATATATTCTATCATCTTTGGGGTTTAGGACGAGGAACTGAAAGACATCAAAGTTGAGATTAAAGAGGAAGAAGAAGACGACACATTGGTGAGTGGAGCTCGGCAGTCTATGGGAAGGGGAGATCCTCTGTATTCCTGGGATTCCACACAGGAAGATCACACCATCCCTCACCATTACAAGGTTGGTTGAACGGAATATCTGGGATATGGACTGGGGGAGATGATGTTTGGATCTTTTTTACATATGTCACAATATTACATCTTAAGTTTTATGTTTCTCACATTTTCTTGGTTTAGGGTGAAGATCTGAGACATCTAAAAGTTGAGGTGAAGTCAGAAGAAGAAGGGGCGTATGTGAGGGATGATCAGCAGTCTATGGAGGAGGATGGAATAACGGGGGCATTTATAGAGGAGGACACTCCTACAGAGATCAGCACAGGTGGGTCATTAGGGGATCCCCCGCCCCTCCACCTACCAAATGATACAAAATATATAAGTCAGTGTAGCATCACCCAAAAATATAGGAAACAAATGACCTGGTAGGAGATCAGAGGAGCCATTTCCTAGTTCCCTTGAGGGTGGAATTGGAAGCTCCTCAGAGCCAAGCTGCCTGATGTGGGTGGAGTCCTGGTTTGGGGGAACCAATCAGCTCCTGTCTAGTAATCCTCTTTGTCTTTGTATTTTAGTCCATGGCCGGGAGATGAGGAAAACCTCAGAGGATTGTCTCACTTTGTCTCCAGACTGGAAAGTAGAAGATGACGACATCACACAGTATAGTCCAGGAGAAAACCCGGCTCCCTCCAATGTCCACCTGGCACCTCCCAGTGTAGATGGACCATCGGATTCCTCGTATCCTGAGGAACCTCCGAATGTGCGGGACCGGGCCGGCCTTCCAACAGAGAAGAGGTTCTCCTGCCCTGAGTGTGGGAAATGTTTCTGTTTTAAATCCAGTTTTAATGTACATAAAAGACTTCACACGGGTGAGAAGCCGCATACCTGCCCTGAGTGCAGGAAATGTTTTTCTCAAAAGTCCTACCTTAAAAAACATCAAAAATCTCACACAGGGGAGAAGCCGTATTCCTGTCCTGAGTGCAGGAAATGTTTCCATTTTAAATTCCAACTTCAGGTGCATAAAAGAACCCACACAGGTGAGAGGCCACATTTCTGCCCTGAGTGCGGGAAAGGTTTTTCAAGCAAGTCTATACTTTCCACACATCAGATATTGCACACAGGTGAGAAGCCATATTCCTGTCCTGAGTGCGGGAAATGTTTTTCCATGAAATCCTATTTCAATAACCATCAGAGATTACACACGGGAGAAGATCTGCACTCCTGTTCTGAGTGCGGAAAACGTTTTGTACAAAAATCATATCTTGTTACACATCAAATAACTCACACGGGTGAAAGGCCGTATTCCTGCCAAGAGTGCGGGAAATGTTTTTTTCAAGGAAAGGCCATCTTGACAGTCATCAGAAATCTCACACGGGCGAGAAGCCATATTCTTGTCCTGTGTGCAGGAAATGTTTTACCTCAAAGTCATATCTTTCTGTACATAAGAGGTCTCACATGGTGGAGAAACAGTATTCCTGTGCTGAGTGCGGGAAATATTTTCTACAGAAATCAGATCTTGTCACTCATCAATGGTCATCTCACAAAGAGTTGTATTCCTGCCCTGAGTGCGGGAAATGTGTTTCAACAAAGTCACATCTTGCCATACATCAAAGGTCTCACGCGAGGGAAAAGCCATATTCCTGTCCTGAGTGCGGGAAATGTTTTTTAAATAAATCGCGTCTTGTCACACATCAAAGGTCTCACACGGGGGAGAAGCCTTTTTGCTGTTCAGAGTGCGGGAAATGTTTTTTAGAGAAGTCCACCCTTCGTTATCATCAGAGACTGCACACGGGGGAGAAGCTATATTCCTGTTCTGAGTGTGGGAAATGTTTTGTAAAACAATCAGTACTTGTCATCCATCAGAGGTCTCACACGGGGGAGAAGCCATTTTCCTGTCCTGAGTGCGAGAAATGTTTTTCGGACAAGTCTTCTCTTCACAAACATCAGATTTTGCACACGGGTGAGAAACCACATTCCTGTCCTGAGTGTGGGAAATGTTTTTCAAGGAAGGCCTATCTTCGCAGGCATCAGAGATGTCGCATGGAGGAGAAGTCATTTTTCTGGCCTGAGTAAGGCAAATATTCCTGATCGAAGTCTTGTCTTCCTGTACAGCAGGGGTCCCACACAACCCTCGAGGTGTATTCGTGCCTTAAGAAGAAAATAGAAATAGAAAAAAGAAATGTCTTCTAGATGAATTTCGCTGGCGTGTGACACGCATTCATTGGTAATGATGATTATTGACCGTATTTCATTTAATGCGGTGATTTCCTATGAATATCAGCTCCATCTAGTGGCAGTATTGCAGTGCTAATTCCGCCTTGTGGCCAGTAGATGGAACTGGTGATCATAGGAAATCATGGAGTAGATTTAACTTATACCCCCTTCCTGCCCAGGCCAATTTTCAGCTTTCACTTTAAATGACAATTGCGCGGACATGCAACACTGTACCAAGATGACATTTTTAGCATTTTTTTCACACAAATACAACTTTCTTTTGGTGGTATTTACTCCCCGCTGGGTGTTTTATTTTTTTGTGCTATAAACAAAAAAAGCAAAAAATTTGAAAAAAAAAGTTTTTCTTTGTTTCTATTATAAAATTTTGCAAACAGGTAATTTTTCTCCACTGATGTGTGTTGATGAGGCTGCACTGAGAGGTGGCACTGATGGGTACTGATAGGCAGCACTGATAAGCGGCACTGATAGGTACTGATAGGCACACTGCTAGGCAGCACTGATGGGTACTGATATGCGGCACTGCTGGGCACTGACTGACAGCACTGATGGGTGGCACTGATAGGCACAGGTGGGCGGCACTGCTGTGCACTTGTGGTCGGCACAGGTAGGCGGCACTGCTGGGCACTTGTGGGCGGTACTGCTGGGCACTTGTGGGCAGCACTGATGGGTACTGATAGGCGGCACTGCTGGGCACTGACTGACAGCACTGATGGGTGGCAATGATGGGCACTGTTGGGCGGCACTGGTGGGCACACTTGTGGGCGCCACTGATGGGTACTGATAGGCGGCACTGCTGGGCACTGACTGACAGCACTGTTGGGCACTTGTGGGTGGCACTGGTGGGCACTGACTGGCGGCACTGATGGGTACAGGTGGGCAGCACTGCTGGGCACTTGTGGGTGGCACTACTGGGTTCTTGTTAGTGGCACTGCTGGGCAGTGACTGGTGGCACTGCTGGGCACTGATCATTAGGGCACTGATCATCAGTGCCCTGATGATCGGTGCCAATCCCTCCTCTGACAGCTGCTGGTTCTCGGCAGTACTTTCCTCCCGCTGTGACAGCATGAGGAAAGTGCAGCCAATAACTGGCAACTGCATTTCCCTGTGATCAGTGTGTCATTGGACATGGCTGATCACGTGGTAAAAGGCCACTGTGATTGGCCTTTTACCACATCACGTGATCAGCTGTGTCCGCAGGACACAGCAATCACGGAGAGCGTCATATGACGCCCTCCTAGAACTGGCCGGCCGCAGTGAAGCTGTCATTCGGCTATCTGCGGTTGGTAAGTGGTTAAATACTGGCAGAATTTGTTATGGCCAGGGGCGGACTGACCATTTGGAAACTCGGGCACTGCCTGGGGTCAGTAGGGGGCCCCATGAGATGCCCCTGGTACCTTTTTCATAGGCTTTTTTGAGGTTGGGCAAGGACACGGGCCCCATGATCCTCTATTGCCCAGGGGCCCCATGAGTTGTCAGTCCACCCCTGGTTATGGCTGGGCGAATGCTGGTCCAATGACTTGTCTGTAAGTGGACCCTTTCATTGCCGTCCTCATACTAGTACCTGGAATCTGAACTCCGCCCCCTAGGAGCATAGTAGGCGTCAGCTGGATTGCTGTACAAATTTTTTTTTTTTTTAACATCCCTAAAATATCCGATGGGTAGTATGTGGCCGATAAATCTATAGACCTCCTAGCCGTGTTATTACCAGGCTGCAGCCAGGGGGAGATCTAATGGTTAGAGAGGGACAAAGGGAGAGCGATCCCATCTAGCTCACATTAACCCTTTCACTGCCAGAGCTGCTTAACCCATCACATTTTGGGCCTGAAGATTAGTTAACCCCTTCAATACTGGCACTTTCATCCTCTTCCTGCCCGCCGGGCACTTTTTTGCCGTCATCATACTAGTACCTAGAATCATACTCCTCCCCCTAGGAGCATTGTAGGCGTCGGCTAGATTGCTGTGCAAATTTCTTTTTTTTGTAATAGATCCCTAAAATATCAGATGGGTAGTATGTGGCCGATAAATCTATAGACCTAGCCGTGTTATTACCAGGCTGCAGCCAGGGGGAGCTCTAACGGTTAGAGGGGGACCGCGGCAGAGCGATCCCATCTGACTCACATTAACTCTTTCACTGCCAGAGCTGCTTAGCATACATGTGAAAGGTCACATTTTGGGACTGAAGATTAGTTAAACCCCTCCCACATCTATTTTCTGAAAGCGCAGACGCAGGAGAATTAAATGGCGGTCGTTGTCAAGGTGTTCCTCGCACACAAATATCCGGGTTTATTTTCTGCTTTTTCTACGTTGGGATTCTCGGTGATGATATTGTAGCACTGTGTATTGTATTGCACACAAAATTAACATTGTAATAAAAAGTTGACTGAATGGAAAAAAAATGAATAAATAACGTGTGCTGGCGCCATGACCACAATCTTCTATATCCAAAAACATCGGTCACGGGTGACAGTCTACAAGATGTTACCTGAAAATAATGGTCCAGAGTGCAGGGCTCAGGAGTATATCATATACAGACCAGGGTACAGAGTGCAAGGGTCAGGAGTATATCATATACAGACCAAGGTACAGAGTGCAGGGGTCAGGAGTATGTCATATACAGCCCAGGGTACAGAGCGGTGGTCAGGAGTATATCACATACAGCCCAGGGTACAGAGAGTGGTGGTCAGGAGTATATCACATACAGCCCAGGGTACAGAGTGCTCTGGTCAGGGGTATATCATATACAGCCCAGGGTGCCGAGTGCTGTGGTCAGGGGTATATCGTATACAGCCTAGGGTACAGAGTGCAGGGGTATATCATATACAGACCAGGGGTCAGGAGTATATCATATACAGACCAGGGTACAGAGTGCAGTGGTCAGGAGTATATGATATACAGACCAGGGTACAGAGAGCAGGGGTATATGATATACAGCCCAGGGTACAGAGTGCAGTGGTCAGGAGTATATGATATACAGACCAGGGTACAGAGTGCAGTGGTCAGGAGTATATCATATACAGCCCAGGGAACAGAGAGCACTGGTCAGGAGTATATCAGAGTGGATTACTCAGGAGTATGTCCTATAAAACCCAAGATACAGAGTACTGTAGTCAGGAATATGTCATATATAGTCCAGAATGCAATGGTCAGGAGTATATCCTATATCTGGTTCCCCAAGCAGCTTTGATAGAAGGCCTCAATGCGGGACTTGAGTATACACATACACGTGGGTGTGGGGTCTAGTATGGCCTGGTGAGTCCAACTGTCCTCTGTCTTCTGGTACCAGCCGACACTGACACCCAGGCAGAAGTACAGTCCTTGGCCGTCCGTTCAATCTTCCTGCTCTCTCCAGCAGAATCGTCTGATTGTACACTCTGAAGTCTCTCCCCTCGGCCCCGTGCCTTCCCAGGATTTCTATTTATCTGACCCCCTCCTGCCTTCAAGTGTGCTGGATCTTGTAGTCTCGTGGCAGAGCTTACCATATACAACTCAGTGAACATGGTGCATGCCCCCCACCTCCTGAACCATATTGATCAAATGCCATCAACATTGGGGAGTGCCTTGCCAGGATGGATCCCCCTGGCTCAACACCCTGTCTCCATGTGGATGTGGGCAGGGCCTTTTTTTTTTTCATAACTCCTACAAAGGGGTCCTCAGTTACCACCCCCATACGTAAAGTGAGTATGGGGTCCATAGCACACAATGGTACCACTAGCTGAATGACAGCTCTCTGAGCGGCCATATTTGGGTAGTGATTTCAATGCTATCCCCACCTGTTGTGTTTCAAATGCTGCTTAATGGATTGACATACCTTCTTAGACCCGGTCTGTCTGGACAGTGTAGTGACCAGCCTTGGCACCATCCACAGGCAAAACCCGGTCTGTCTGGACAGTGTAGTGACCTGCCTTGGCACCAACCACAGGCAAGACCCGGTCTGTCTTGACAGTGTAGTGACCAGCCTTGGCACCATCCACAGGAAGCTTAACTCTTCAATGAGACACTGAAGTTGATGCCAATGCAATTTTACTTCAAACAATTGGAGTACAGGGGATGTCTTTTTAAAGAGTAAGAAGACAATGGAATAGGCAGTCGTATATTTATCTCCCCCTTGGTGGGAGTGGAGGTGACCCCTCTATGAGGATATACATTCCATACACACACAGCACAAGCCGGGGTCACACTACCAGACGGTTCTCGGTGCTGTAGTTCCTCTGAGCTCCACAAGGCAGTGATCTCACTTCTACCCGGATAAGAAGTCTCTATGGTAGACAGAAAGTGTCAGATACAGGCAGGAAGTCCATGTGGCAAAGTAGAGAGAAGACATTGTTGGGACTGGCAGCAGAGGAGGTAATAAGATCTTATTTTCTATTTACACCCAATAACCCCTGCCCCCCGTCATGTCCACCCTCTTCCTCCATGGTCACATCTGTCCTCTTCCTCCATCGCCTTGTCCGCCCTCTTCCTCCATCGCCTTGTCCATCCTCTTCCTCCTTCACCTTGTCCGTCCTCTTCTTCCATAGTCACGTCCGTCCTCTTCCTGCACCGTCACTCCCGTCCTCTTCCTCCACCGTCACGCCCGTCCTCCACCGTCACGGCCGTCCTCTTCCTCCACCGTCACGTCCGTCCTCTTCCTCCACCGTCACGTCCGTCCTCTTCCTCCATCGCCAACGTCCGTCCTCTTCATCGCCAACATCCGTCCTCTTCATCGCCAACATCCGTCCTCTTCCTCCATTGCCAACGTCCGTCCTCTTCC